CATAATCGTGAAATGTAAGTATCATCCACTGTGCGCAATGAAGGTTCTACGGGCGCATTCGTAAAGCTGAATTTCCGGACCGTGCAGCGGTTACTCTCAAACGTATACGGTCTTAGATGCATCCTGTCCACGCTTAAGTGGACAGGACGTTCCGTAGCACCGTCACGATTCCATGCAACCGCCGCAAACCCTCCGGGGAGCACGTAATTACGCAACACTATTGGCAGTACGGTAGCATAATGTTCGCCTCGGGTTACTGATGAGCCCTGACGCAGTTTCGCCGATTATGCGCCGCCAATTCAGCATACAGAGAGTAACCAACACGTACACGTACGCGCGAGACGTCCGTAGTAGCTTATCTATCAGCGACAATCGAATGCGCCTGGACGCATGACGATCGATCACGTTTCATATAGAAGCCAATAACGTTTTCGGTGAAGGATTGTATACATTTGTTCGCGACATTCGCCGTCAGTGTGTGTGTGCACGTTTCCTGGTATTTAATTTAAATGTAGAAAAAAAAAATATATATATATATATATATATATATATATCGCGCTTCCACCACGAATCGCATTAGCTCCCTGTTGCATAGATCGAACTGACCTGTTGCGTAGATCGAAACTGCGTCAAAACTTTACCCAAGCTCTTATGAAACTGAGTGAAACTTTTACGAACGTGCGACATCCCTGCGAGAGACAAAATTTCTAATCATGGCGAAGGAATTATCCGGCAAAAATTAGATATTGATTGCACGCAAGAATTTTCAGCATCGACGAAGCGTAATTCGTAATACATTTGTCTTATTTCTTTTATATCAAATTTTTGCAAATTTTCAGTCGTTAGAAAGCAAACCGTGTGATGCATTCAACTCGAATAATTTCAATTTCTCGGTCCGTGCTAAGATCTTTTCTATTCTTCTCTCTCTCTCTTTCTCTCAACCGTACCTTAAATCGACCAAATCGACGACATCCGCGCATTCGTGCGCCATACATTCATTCTATTCCATTCTGACTTGTTCCGTCGAGTTTTTGCGCTTTCGTACAGACTGACAGACTGATTCTGCTATATCCGTCGCGCGCGAGCGCGAGTCGACCCGTCTCCGATGACTCGTGACTTCCCGCCGAGTATGAATGAAGCATCGCGTAACGCCGCTTCGTCTCTCGACGAGACTCTCCACTGTCACCAGAAAATCGCAAGAAACGCGATCGTCAGAAACATATAAAAATAATCTGACAAACACGACACGACGTAATATGTTTGATGGTAGCAAAGATTCTAATTGACAAGAAGAATATATGCGACGCGCGTTTACATAACTGTATCTAAAAAAATTGTCCGATGTATTGTACGTAAATTTCTAGCACACATTATTACGTTTATTATTAGTTAATAAAATAATTGGAACATCTTTCCCTTGACAAAACAATTAAATTTTTAATTAAAAAAATCGCTATCTTCTAGCGCCATATGATTTTCTCGTAGATTTATCGAAGAAGAAAAAAGGAAGACTGCAAGTTTGTAATACTGGAGCGATTTTAATAATGAAATACCCGTCTTCGCGCACCAACTGATGATTGAACGAATAGAGCCCGAGCGTCGCTCCGCGTAAATCGAATTTCTCCATTCTCGCAACAACACGCGCAAAGACAGCCGTTGATAAACGAACGGCGATTCAGTACGGCAGACCGTCCATTGAAGAAGGTCTAGACTGCTGCACAGCAGTCGGACAACCCCGAGTGGATTCTCCGTGCAACGCTTCCCGAGATCGATCGACCGTTCGATCGCTTTTTGCCGCTCCGCGGAAGACGATCAAAGGCGGGATCGCGAGTACGAAGGAAGGAAAATCTCCACGCTTCTCTCGTGCACTATTTCTCTTTCTTCACCCTATCTATAGTCGCCCTTCTCTCACTAACATTCCTTCTACCTCACACCTACCTATTTCCCGTTCTTTCTTTTTCAGCGGACTCACTCTCTCTCTCTC